TATCATTTTCATTTCAAACCATTGAAATTACACATGTTCTTACTTGTGCAAGTATTTTAGCCATATTCACTATTTTATAACCAAAACTCAGTAACCAAAGATATAAAATACACAAGTTATCCACTATAGTAATGCAAGTAGTACAAAAATGATGACATGTGACCTAGTTGGCAATTACACAATATTAATACATAAAAGTAGAGTAAAGAGGCATGAAAGTAGATTTTTACCACAATCTTACACCTCAGAATGCTTTCCCCAAACTATATTCAATAAACTAAGCCCTAAAAATATTAAAAATTAAGGGATGAGTACAACCACTCAGTAATCAAGTTTCACCTAATCTATATAGTTACATATCAATTGTAAATAGATGTAAATAGGCAAGAACACACAATAACAACACATATGATAGACTTGGCCATGGTTCATAATATTAACAACCATGTGATCAAACCCAAAGCACATATATCCGTATAAAATTACAATGCCCAATATTGGGTCATAATAATACCAATCATTCTCTCCTAACACATACCCGACCACAATAATAACAACTATGTGGCTGAATTTATATACATGATCAAATGTCAATCTTATACCCTCCTGTTACCTTTGACATGAAACTGATGGCTATCACATGACTACATCCTTTACGAACTAACCTAGCTTTTTACTTGTGAGGAGCTACCGGGTCAGGGTTAACTCATTCACTTGTGTAATCCAGTTTCTTTCAATACTAATAACCATAGGGTATCATACCCCTAATTAAGCTTCCTCATGAATCGATGGAGGCTAGGTAGGTTCGAGTCCCTCATAGAACAAGTAGGACAGTCTCAAATTAACTATAAGAAAAGAGCTACCTCCCGATTTCAACAGTCATTGCTAATACTATATGAATTTAACCACCCACTCTTCTCCTTAAGCGAACTCCTATCAATGATCAAGTTATGCACATCCACATATAAATGCAAATGTGACTCACTTCACAACTAACGCAATTCATATCGACCTCTTACTCCTATTAAACCATAACCAATATATCACATGTAGAGATTTTCAAAATATCACATTTATCACTTTCACTTTAACATGTCATCAACCAAAACATCAATCACAATAAATGGCATGCATGAGATTTCCCTTTCCACAACCATTTCATAAGTTAAACACATTGCCAAATTACATCATTAATTTAAACCATCAACCATGTTACACAACTAAACAATTAATATTCAACTATAAAAACTAGGTTTTCTCGATTATCTCAAACCTTTGAGAGGTTAAAGGTTTACCTCTCACAATAAACACTTCTAAAACTTCTCACAAGCTTGAATGGTGCCAATACGAATCATAATCAAGGATATCATCATAATCTCACTCTTAGGGATTTATTAACATTAATTCTACATTTTCTACTTAACCAATTTCCTAAGTTCACTACCCATAAATACCTAATGGGTTCACTAAGTTTCATTAATGCATATTACTATCCTTGAGTCTTTAAACCATTATTAATGAGCCTCAAACACTTCCAACAACCAAATTAATTACAAAATTCGCATATTAATGGATCCACCTAACTAACCATACATAAAATCATTAATGTAAAGTTTAAATATCTCAAACAACTCCCATTATATCCATTTTAACCAATGGTTTAGAACCCATAGCTCCTGTGGACCAAAAATCAACTTCTCAACTTAAACCCTAACTCAAATTTCATAAATGAGAGAGAGAAGGGAAGAGAAAGGCATGAACTACTCACCTTGAGTATTTGGGAGCCTCAGAAAGTCACCAATGGGATCCAATATCGTGCTCTAGCAGAACCTCAGATGTGCCTTTGTGTTTTCTCCTCCTCCTTCTTTATTCTTCACATGCAAACATGAATTGGCTTTATTTAATTTTTGGCCATACGCCGCGGCACACATAGCCTCCTATTACGGCGTGTGGCACAGAGAGGCCGAATGCACGTAAACTTGCCTCTGTGTGCCGCGATGGATTGACCACACACTGCAGTGTGTAGCACAGAGGGCTTCTCTTTACTTTTTCTTCCTCTTTCCTTGTCCGAGTAGCCCGCCTTCACTCTTGACCCACTTCTAGAGCTGAAATTACAATTGATTACACCAATTATACTCATTAAATTAATTTAATTAATGATTAAATTTTTCAAATGTTACAATTCTAAATAAAGAAGATAAGGTGAGGATGAGATTATAGTCATTACCTTAAGTCTTTAAAGCCATAAAATCAAGCTCTAACAATAGAGAGACCTAGACCCTAACAGAACCACAAAATTTTTGCATGAGAAGCCTAAATAATCTCCCTGTTTGTGTTTGTTTGTCGAATAGAGCACTTATTAGAATTTTGCATTGTTTGCCACGACAAACGTGCTACTTGCCATGTCGAGAAGTGCAAAATGCATAGCTTCATTTTTAGCCCACTATTTAAGCCTAGTTCGGCCCAATACTTATATTTGGACCTTGTTTAGCCTCTATACATGTCTTTAAGAATTTTGCATCGTTTGCCATGACGAATGTGCTACTTGCCATGGCGAGAAGTGCAAAATACATAGCTTCATTTTCAGCCCACTATTTGAGCCCAATTCGGCCCAATGCTTATATTTGGTCCTTGTTTAATCTCTATACATGTCTTTAAGCCCAATTTAGTCTATAAGTATGCGCCAAAACCATCACTAAACCCATGTTTCTTTGATCTAACATCAATAAAATTATAATTCCTAGGATAAATCCTCAATTAAACCCATATTTCTTATAATTAAATTCATATTAAAATGAGGATGTTAAAGTCTGCACCATTAAATCACCAAGGATGTGCTTCATCTGTGGAGCGATGAGAGTGAGTGCCTCACGAAACTTAGCAGTGATAGAGTGGATAAGACCAAGTCATTGAGCCCCCTAAAGGCGGCATTCAACTTAAATTCACAAGGTTGATTCGCTATTAGGTCGGGATTTCCTTCAAATTGAACTGGGCTTTGTCTAACTATTGTTGTAGGATTAGTGCACCAAATTTGATGCAAACATTATGTAAATTTAATTTTTATTGATAATGTGAAAAAATAGTTTTTTAAAGAAATAACAGTTGAGATATTACCGTTATTTGAAATTTGGCATCTATTAAAATTTTAAACTATTCAAAATATGAAAATAAAATTATATTAAATCCGTACCTTTCAATTTTAATTTGAATTGTCCAGATTGCCATGCAAAGTGTGAACTATATAGCAAAACACCTCCATTAGACATCTCGTTCGAGTCAAATTGCCCTCATTTCACTTAATCCAGTCAGCCACACTTTTCAGTGTATTACATGTATATTATGAGCATTGAGTTATGCTCCTCATGATCCATAAAGAAGATAATTGCTGGAGATTTTTTATCATAAGTGTCACTCTTAATTACATGAAAAGTAAGAGTTCTTTTAATCTTGTCCAAAAAGGGGGGAAAAAACATTACAGGAGCAGTGACATCATTTATAATCATCGACAAGTGTGGAAATTAATACGTGATATTCTCCACCGAACTTAATCAACAGAGAATGATTATATTGTATCCCATCGAAATTAAACAACTATTTCTTCTAATTCTATTTATAGGATAAATAAAAAAAAATTTCATCCTATTTATAAATTATATCATTAAATTTTTATTATAATTTTTTTTATTTTTTATTGAACATTAGAAGAAACAAATATATTATTAAAGTGCGTATATTTAATATGAGTAAAGTTAAAAACTTATTAAATTTTAAAATAAAATTAATAAATTTTAATATTTTACTTGATATTCATAAAATATAATAAAAGTAATTTATAAATAATGTTAGAGGAGTATATATCATGTGATATCCGATCGACGACTTTTCAATATCCTTTCTCAGTTTCTTCCCTAAACTCCAAGCAAGCACTTTGCAAGTTGAAGGAAATCAACTTGGTTGCTCATGTACCTTTTGTCAGCTGGTTATCCACTCAACTGGCGGCGGCGGCGGCATCTGGGTATTTTTAACATATCATCTTTGGTTTACTCATAGCAAGTCCCATCAAAACTCACCTCTCGATCACTCTTCTTCCCACAAAGTCCATCCAGTGTGGGAAGTAATTGAGTAATAAATGTCACAAAAATCTCAGAGAGAATGAACATTGCCGTTGAATCCATTCCCATAGATGAAGAACCATCATATCAGATATTGCCCATTGGTGTGATGTCCTCTTATAACAGTCTCCTTCCTTGCTCTATCTACCATTTCTGCCCCATTCCCCAGAGCTCCATGGTTGGAAATGGCGCTTTCTCTTGGTTAAAAAATTTGAAAGTGACAAGTTTAACTACATCCACATCGATACAAGTTTTCTCCCTTTATACGCATATTGAGAACAAATGATTTACCCTATTTTTATTTTTTTTTATAAAAAAATCAACTTGAATCAAGGCTTTTGTATCTCCTTCCGTAACAAACCAATCTTTAAAGTTCTACCAGTTTTAGTCAAAGTGTTTATTATTATTAATGTCAATAATACATTATCCGTAAAGCAATATTGATTAAAGTTGATCATAATTTTAAGAATTGATTCTTTAATAAAAAAGTTATAAATATTTTGATATGAGTTAACTATAACATTCGGAATAAAAAATTATATTTTCACTCCTGTATATATTTTTTCTTTATATATTGAATTATATAATTATGCATGTTTTTTATCAAAATATTTTTATTCAATGCATGCGCTCAATATGTTAATTTTTAGAATCATTAATATAAATACACAATTTGCATTAAATCTAATACAATGTATTTAATTACTTATAATTATAAATTATAATGAGTAGAGTAATTGACACGAATTTTTTTATATGTGCATATAAATAAATAAATAGCCCACCTAATTTTTGGAGGGAGAGGGGCGACCGGAATTTCAAGTCGGGTCTGACCCGAGAGAAATCCGGATTATCGCCATTTCCTCGAGCGGGTGCGTTTATAAGCTGTGGGGTATTAGGGTTTGGAGTCGCCTAGTTACCGTACAGTGGGTGTGTTTCCAGACTACATTTCGACGGAACCAACACATCACATACAATTTCGAAAGCTATGACTGCCCAGACTCAAGAAGAGCTTCTTGCGGCCCACCTCGAACAGCAGAAGATCAATGTAATTTACCTTCTTTGATCCTCACTTCACTCTTGTGTTAGTTTCTCTGATTTCGCCTTTCAATGGATCAATTTCCTGCTCTAAATTCGATCCCCGAGAAAGCGAGAGCACCGATTATGATTGTTATTAGTAGTCTTGGATTTAGCTCTCGCCTTTTGCTCATACATTTAAGGCGGCTCACGATTAGGGCTCTTGGGTTTAAGATGATCCACAAATTAGTGTCTGAACTGCTGAATTGGCCATGGGTGCAATTTTTAAATCAAAAGCGAGATGGATTTTTTTTTAATAAGTAGTTACTACATTTTCATATCGGTTGATCTCAACAACTGAATCATTTCTCATGACTATATTGCGTTTTAATCAATAAATGGAGCTAAAGTACTGTTGAACCCCAAATCTAACGCCATACTGAGTTCGTTATCATCAAATACTTGAACTTTTGAATAATATCTTTTGTAGCCTGATGAACCGGTGGTCGAGGATGAAGATGACGAGGATGAGGATGATGAGGATGATGAAGATGAAAATGCTGATGGTAAGCTGACCAATAGGAATAGTTGAATTATGCTACATTTTACTTGCTACAACTGCAAAGGCTTGGTTAGATCTTTAAACCTAACGTTTTACTATATTCTATTTTGTAAAAATTATGGTCTTGGTCTGCAGAGGTATTGAGTGTTTACAATAAGTTAAATCATACAACATGGTTGATCTTTTGGTTAGACCCTCCAATGCACCCCTAAATGAAGCTGGCTGCAATTTCTGCCACCATTCTATAGGAAACCAGATTTTTTAGTTGTCATGAATCATGCTAGTGTTATAAATAAATTGGGTGAAATTTACTGGCCATTTTATTATTCATCAGGGACTCAGGAATAATCACTTCAGTCGAAGTGATTTAATGCTGCTGTATCTTTTTATGTTATTGAAGTTTGACAGATACAATTCTGCCAATCCACTATCTCACTAGAATTTGTATTGTATACAGGACAAGAAGGTGATGTAAGTGGTAGGTCTAAGCAGACCAGAAGTGAGAAAAAGAGTCGCAAGGCAATGCTAAAGCTTGGAATGAAACCAGTCACAGGTGTCAGCCGTGTGACAGTAAAGAAGAGCAAGAATGTAAGTGTCAAACATCTTTAGTTTCCCCCTGCTTCAGATTCCCTAGTTTTGGTTATAAAATCTAACTTTTTGACAACTTCTGTTTAGATTCTGTTTGTCATCTCAAAACCAGATGTATTTAAGAGCCCGACTTCAGATACATACATTATATTTGGGGAAGCTAAGATTGAAGACTTGAGCTCACAATTACAAACTCAGGCTGCAGAGCAGTTCAAAGCTCCTAACTTGAGCAATGTAGGACTAAAGCCTGAATCCTCAGCAATGGCTCAAGATGATGATGATGTGGACGAGACTGGTGTAGATCCCAAGGACATAGAGTTAGTGATGACACAGGCTGGAGTATCAAGACCAAGGGCTGTTAAAGCCCTCAAAGCTGCCAATGGAGACATTGTTGCTGCCATTATGGAGCTCACTACTTGATGGGCAGATTTGGGAGAATATTAGGTTTTCAAATGTGGAGCTAAATTTGTTGTTGGATTTGAAGTACATTATATTAAGTTTTGCTCTCCTTGGATTTGAAATAGCTGTCTGCCAATAGTCATTGTTTTCTATTTTCTATAGTTGTGTGTGTATGAAAGGAAAACGATGAAACTCATTAGCATGTTTTATGAAGTGAATGGCTGACATTATTGCCTACATGGTTATCGAAGGGTTACAATATGGTTGGGCACATCTTTGTTTTAGCATGGGTTTGATTCTTCTCTCAAGTTCTCATGCAACAGGAGAAGAGAATCTCGTTGGTTTTGAATAACCTTGGTTATGCAGGTATGCTGTTAGAACTGACAAAAATGGCAGCCCATTCAGACAAGTCTCATCTACGTATAATCACTTTGGGTGATGCAAATGATTTTCAAGGCCTGTGAAATTGGACGTCGCCAGTTTGACAATAGTTGGAAGTTGGAGCCTGCATGCACCATTAGCCTTTGTGTAATGTTCTGCCTTTTTTTTTTTTAAATTAGAATTAGGGGGGCAAGTGTTGATGGTGTGAGATTACAAACGTAATCGAACCTGTGACCTCTTGCCCATAAGGAAGTTTACATGCTACCAGATTGGAAGGATATTGGCTTCTGCCTCCTTTACCAACAAATTCAATTGGAGCTTAAACATGGTCCAAGGTTTTGAAATTGCTATTGTAGTTTATTTGAGATCCTTTAGGAGCTTCAGTGAATGAGCTAATCCAAAAGGGAAGGAGTTGGCTGGTCTGAAACTCATGTAAGGAATTTTTTTCGCATAAGAAGCTACAAACTTGACATGTATTTATTTTTTTTTTCAAGTTCTTAGTGGATTTGTGATAACCAAGGGAAAAAATTTGACAATAATTAGAGATATAAGTTTATGTTTCAATAGTAATTATATTAATTTTTAGAAAAACAATAACAAAATGGAGGGTTGGTGTAGTGGTATAATACAAGCAACCCAACCATCAGGGCAAGTTTGAATCTGGCTGAGACAAAAAGGGGGATTCTATTTTGTTTTTATTTTTTGAAATTACCAAACTGCCCCTCTTCAATCTAATAAAAAATTTTCATCCCCTTTTCAATCATTCCAAATCTGTCAAGTGCTCTACCTCATGCTTCATTCCTTCACTCTTCCTCTGTGTCTTCGCTTCCTTCCCTTGTGTTCTCAATCGTTACTGGTGTGAGCCTTTGCTGTTGATCTGTCCACAGTTGGCTAGAGTGGAGCTCATTTTCTTGTTGCTGAACGCTAGCAAAAATCCTTTTCTTCCTCCCTGTTCGAGCCTACAGCATATTGCTGGGTGAGGTACAGATTATGGGATCCTTTTTTCTTGTGCTACTGTCAAGTTTCTCAACTATGTTCTTGGTTTGTTATGCTTCCTTGTACTCAATTTTGATTATTACTATGTTCTCACAAATTTCGTTCACATGTTGCTGATGAATGGAAGAAATCAGCTCGCTGGAAATTGGTGGTATTGGTTGAGTTGGAGTTGATGTGGATTCTATTCTCTTCACTTTTTTTCGAGTGGTGCTTCATTTTTTTCCTCTTGCTTAGCTGTGAATTTCATTTTCCTCCTCCCTTGTTGCATGTCGTTAGTCCATCTGAGGTAAAAAGTCTTGATCTCTTCTCTCTTTCTTCTTTATAACTAATGCACTTGTGTGTGTGATGAGATAATATTGAATTTTTTTTTCATCTCTTGATTTTCTGTTGCTATCCATGACTGAATAACAAAAATATGCATTAGTATTAAAGAATGATGGTGATACATATGGGTCATAATTTTGAAGTTAAATTGATTTTGTTGATGTTAAAGAATTTATTGAGGTGGAATTGGAGGAGAAAAGCTTAGATATATTGTTGGTGCCTATGAGATGTTGTTGAAGAGCTTGTATGAGGAAATAAAATTTAACTTTTGAATATTGATGGAAATTATTGGTTTAAGAATTAACCTATAGAACTATGAAGGAATTTAATTATGGGCTTGGACGTAGTTATTTGTATATTTGGAGCTTGTTTGATTTTTGATAAATTGTTGAAGGTTTTAAATTGAAGAGATAGAAGTAGTGCAACTAAGGTACGTGGTGCAAAGATTGGGAGAAAACTTTTGTTCCAAGAAAATAGAATGGCATGGCTAAAGTTTTATGGAGGAAATTAGAGAAATGAATGATAATGCTTGAACTAACTTTAAATCATAAATTTGGTTTTGAATTTTAGATGGTGGTTGGTAGAGATTGTGTTATAAATTAAAAAGTTATTAAAATTGTATTTAATTATATTTTTATAGGGTGTGTGGAAGAACAAGACCCTGACAAGAATTAAAACAAGAATATTTTTGAGAATTTAGAATTCCAACGAGTTAGTTAATAACATTCTATTTAATTTATTTTTAATAGTTTTTTATTGAAATATTTTATTCTTATGAATTACATTAATTTTGAAAATTATGAAATATTAATGAAGGACAAATGAGTTATGATATGTGCATTTATTTACTTTCAAAAGTGTATTTTCAAGATTGATGAAAGCATTCTTGTATGGTTGTTAAGCTTTGAAATGTATTGGCTATTCAATTACTGTAAGTTTGGCATATTAACTATAAAGTATGATTTTCATAAATTTTGAGAATTGAAACAATTCATGTAAGTTTAGCGTTGAGAATGGTAATTTTATTACAGCAATAATTATTTTTCTTGCATGTTTGAAACATAATTTTTAAAAGGACTTTAAATAGAACACTGCTACTAACGGCAGTTTTGTTAGCTCGTAGCACATTGTGGTTAAAAATTAGCTAGTTTGTTTCGTGGGCTTTGTTCTTATGTTTGATATTTGTGAGCTTTGTACCCACATTTGATTATGTGGTCTGAGCTATGTTTGGTTAGTATTACCCTCGTGAACTGTGTGTCCACATTTGTTTTGTGGCTTCAGCTGTGTTTGATTACTTATTCTCATGAATTGTGTATCCACATTTATTTTCGTGACATAAGCTGTGTTTGGTTATTTATTCTCGTGGACTGTGTGTCCACATTTGTTACCTGTTCTGTTGAGTTCTCAAAATTTTAAATGTTGACTAATATGTGTTTTCAAAATTTACATGATTTTGGCTAGCAATTATATCACTCTGATTTATGTATGAATAATTAATTTTCTTTAAGCATGATAAAAAATGAATTGCTTTCAATTTACTCTCATTTTACCATTATAGTTGCGACTTACAGATTTATAAATTTATTTTGTTGAGTTATTTTTAATTAGTTTACACCATTATTTGAGTTTGTTAATTTAAAATTTTAAATTCTACTTTGGGAATGTTATTCACTAGAAAACATATTTTGGCCTCATATTTGTTAGCTAACGTTGATCCTACCATCGACCTCTGAAGGGCAATATAACTACATTAGGTAAAAATTTTGGTTGGTACTGTTACTTTTGATGTAAATATATAAGTCGCATGTATTTTTGATTTAAAAGAAAGATTAGTGCTCCATATAGATTATCATTAGGGTTTTATTTTGATTTATATATATACTGTAGCTAGCTAGAAGGAGCTAAGCTCTTGATTGATACTGTATTTGTGAAAAAAATTTGTTGTAGAATTTTCAGGAGATTCTATTTATAGGGAAGATGTTGTCAAAATTTCTATAAAAACGATGAAGCTTTATTATGCTAATTAATATTAAAAGTGTTAGAATTTTTATATAATTTAATTGTTTTTTTGAGAAAACAAAATGAATTTTCATGTTAAGGCTTACGAGATTATATGATATAGTTTGCATCCGTGCTGGATACCTTTTACTTTTGGGGTGTGATAAGATTTCTTAATTTATCAGTTCGTTGCTACATGGAATGTAATGAGTTTTTTATGCAATTAGATAAGATTTTGTTACTATTAAATGAAAAAAAAAAATTACATAATTATTGTTGAATAAATAATAGGAGGAATACAAAAAATATTACCTTTCTAAACTCTAGTATCGTGATCTTTTTATTTCCTCCAAATGACAACGTGGATTGCAATGATTCCTACAATTTAGATTGGACTTAACTTCTCTGCATAAAGTTATTAAATATAAGGTTACTATATAATTTGAATATTAAATTGTAGGTTTAAGGGTGATTTAAATTTTAAACTTTTAAAAAATATATTTTAAATCCCAAACAATTAAAGTTGGGGCAATTTTGCCCTACCATCAAATTTCAGCAAACATTTGTTAAATTTAATAGTGAGGATGAAATTGCCTCAATTTTAATTGTTTAGAGTTTCAAATGTACCTTTTAAAAGTTTAGAGTTCAAATCACCCCTGAACCTATAGTTTAAAGTTTAAATTACATATTAACCCTTAAATATATACAGCTTGTTTAATTTTTACTTTGCATTTTAATTCACCTCAGCCCATAACCACAAATCCTCCACGACATTCTTTGATCGTTTGAGTTAAGCATATCAATCATCATGCAAGGCTTGGGTAGTCGGGTTATTGGTGTTTTGTCTGATTGTGGAATCAATTGCTATTTCAGAGAGAGCAGTTAAGTAGTGTAAAAAATTGTCTATAATATATACCTGTAGCACTATTTGTAAGTCACTTCTGATTTGTTTTGCTAAAAATAAGAAAAATTTTAAATTTCATTTGTATTTTATAATTTAATAAGTTTCCACATATATATCATAATAAAAACAAAAAAAATTATTTTTAACATTGTTCATGGTTGAACAACAAATACCAAGCGTGCCAGAGACGCTAAGTATCAATAGATAATGAAAAGGGTCCCGAGTTCTCTTACTACAGTTCACTCGGATATAAAAAGATACAAGGCTTTGGTAGAACAAGTGTATGATTTTATTAAAGTGTAAAAAGATTACAGACTAAAAACTAAAAAATGAAGAGGATTAACAAATGTAAAATATGCGAGTCTTGATGGAGGGTTGACTAGTTTCTTCTGTATTTTCTCTTTCTATTTATAGTGTCAGAATAGCAGAAGTCTTTTCCTTGAAATTTAGCACGTTCTGTTGAAGAATCAAGAATCGTGCGAAACTCATTGCACGGTCTCTCTATTTTGATAACTAGCCCATTTCATCGAACTACTTGGGTGTAGATTTCGGCGTTACTTAAGATTATGTCTTCGTGCCAATGGTTTAATATTTGTAGCTGACGAAATTTCGGCATGTTTACTTGTTGTGGCCTTTATTAAGCTTCGGGGCCGACCCTTTTTGTTTATATTGAACCTAACGCTTCAATTATTCAGCGTAACTAGCCTTGTGACCTATTTGAACAATGTTTCATTTTTAGCCCAAACAATGCCCCCCGTGTGCCAATAGCTGGTAATGTAAGCCATGTAGCACGTTTGAAAAAACTAAAACACTGCTTCACTTTTTGAGCGCCCTCTACTGATATAAACTCATTTCTTTATTCTGGTCATTTCTCTTGCCCTCTTTGTCATTTTTTAAACTTTAAGTTTTCAATCCGTTGCATTTCTCTTACCCTAACATTTAAATGGCTTCCTCCGCTCCTGTCATTTCTTCTACCACCGCTCCTTCTTCTATTTCAGTTAGTAGTTTGCCAGATTCTCTAGCGACTATCCGGAACCCAGTTAACCCGCTTGGCGGGCTCGTGATGGTATGTATTTAATGGTTTGAAAACCCTTTTTTCGTTTAGATTGGTTTCCCATTTTAATAGTGATTCATTTCTTTACAGGAGGATTCATCATTCCACGAATTAATGGGTTTTTGGTAAGTTTCTTGCTTCTGGTGTTTAGCCCTTCTATTTTATTAAAAAGTATTCTAACTGTGCTTCATTTTTTCCAACACTTTGCCCTAGAGTTTTCAAATCTCCAATAAGAGTAACGTCAAGTACCTAACAATCTCTCCTGACTTGTTCGAAGTTACTGCTCCTACTTAACCAAACCCATGCCACTGACCTCTATTCACAACTTGGTTTTAGCCCGGATGACCTCGCCCTTCCTTGAGTCATCCTGCAAAAAGTTCAGGAACTGGCCCCGGTCTCCTCGCACTTGGGTTAACTGGGTAAGCATTTGAAGTCAGAACATACACCTCAATGGAAGGAGATAGGTTTATATGATCTTATCCAATTATCTTTGGCCGACGTTAATGTCCTTGTGGAGCTTCTAATGGCCATCCTCAGCTTCTGGGCTCCAGGCTACAATGCCTTCATCTTCAAGCTTAGCCTGATGTTCCTTACACTATGGGATGTCTTCATGTTTTTGGGGCTACTTATCATTGGAGAGGAGAACTTCTACGTAAATCTCTTGGAGGCACAACTCCTACACTGCCCTTGTTAACCTCTAGAAGTTCATGTCATTTCATCATATTTTCTTTAGATTCTAAGCCATTTTAGCTCAATTGTGTATGTTTTTATTGCCCAAATTAGGAAAACGTGTATTTTATTTTGGATTTGTATTCTTAGCTTTGATTTGATATTTTTGGCCTAATTTCATATTATTTTGGTTGAAATTTCAATTAGAAGTATTTATGGAGCTTTGTGGATGTTTTTGGAAGGCTTTTGGATAAAGAAATCAGCCCTCCTTATTGATTTGGAGAGTAAGATCAAGAGTGCGGGCTTCTACACAAAGATTATAGAGCTACTCTCCGAGAAGCCAACCTCTGAGCCCATCACTACTATGGAGCATTGGGTCTTCATATAGATCTTACTGAGCTAATGGATCCTGGCCTTGGAGGGAGGGAAGCCCATGCAGCTACACTTAAGGATCACCCAGTCCATGCTGTGCAACAACCAAATAGCCCTGAGGACTATGTTTCTATGCCATCTCTACAACGGTATGAGGAAGTCGTTAACCAAGAAGCCCTTCAGCAACTTCCATGGGCCCGTCTGGTTTCTAAAGTTATGGACAATGGCCTACTTTTTAAATCTTTGGCGAAAGCCGTTCCCAGACGATTTCCACACTAACCATCCCTTCACCTGTCTCCTGAGTAGTCATTCGCTGACCAAGCAGAAGAACTTCTTGTCAGCAAAGTTGGTCCTTGGGGAGGACCTTAAAAGCTTTTAACATGTTAGATCGCCACCTTTGCACCTAGTATAAGTATATAGTAGATAAAAAGAACAGGCCCGCCAATCCCCTAAGGGATGAAATCTTCCTTTCAGCCACCACTCCTTGAAAAATATGGCTACCGTACCCTAGCTCTTCTTTCATGTCTCTGAGGGTATACTTGAAGTCTTACCATCCTCAATTGGTGGTGGGCTAGTTTGGACTGAGCCAATGTATCCCTCGGGGCTTGTCCCCCCGAATTAACATAGAGCTGCTAGACAGGGAGGCTATCGACCAGAGAGTTCCACTTACCACTCAGAGGCAGTGCAAGGTGAAACTTATAGATAGAGACGCCTACCTCTGCTTCCATAAATGGTGGCTCTAGCGCTTTAGGCGCATAATAAAAAGCCATACCAATAAGTATTATCTCCTGCATTTGTCTTAGTTTTATCCTTCTTATTTTGTACCCCAGACTAAACCTGCTTTATTTTTTGTAAGCCGTGATTAGACACAATCCCACGTGCTGATGACATTCTTAAGGGAAAAAATTGATGCCTCCACTGCTTCTAAGACCCAAACAGCCCCCTCATTGAGGACCGTGGTCCAGGAGATGAAGCAAGATGATGCTTCCTCCTAAGTTCCTGCTCCCCCAATCTCTAGAAAGCTCGGGGTTAAGAAGAGCTCCTCCAATCGTCCCGACAAAGGAGATGTTCCTGATAAGAGGAAGTGGGCTCTATCTCCATTACCTGAAGCTAAGAGGAGGAAGAAGATGAGGCCCCCTATACTCAACCAACCTTCTTCTACCCCTCTCTTGACTAACCCCATGCCTCAAAAAGGAAAGCACACGCAAAGCCCCAACGGACGATAATCCTGTCAGCAGATTTTGACGATGGCAGAGTGAGTCCTGTTCAACAAGGGGAGAAAGAGACTCATCTCTTAGAACTCTAAATGGTCACTTCCACGCTACTGCCACTCCTGAGCCAACACCTATGGACCCAATTAAAGTCGCTCAGGAGGTGACAGAATGTGATGAAGGTGTGGGGGTTGCCTTGTCTACTGCAGTCCCAAGCAGTTCAGAAGACATTGGGGCCGCCCTTAATCAGGGAGTGGCTTTCGCCATAGCCTCAATTGATAAGTTGGATTTTAGGGTCCAAGGTCCTGTTACTACTGAGGGCCCCCAGATGGTCTCCCTAATCAGTTTGATCTTTCCCTCCTACTCATCAAATATTCAAGAGGTTAGGAGCTCTGAGACATCCTTGGAGGGATGCCAGACGACGTCTGTGAATAATGCTTTGGTTGCTTTGGTCCCTACCCAAGGTGGCTCAGTGCAGGGTCAAAATAACTCCTCTACTCTTACGGGCTGTGTAGAGAAGGCTTTATGCTCAGCGGCACGATCTGCACGTACTCTTCCCCCTTCCATGAGCAAAGACAAAGTACTCGTAGACCCAATTCAGGTATAGTTTTATTTTTCTTTTTCCTTTCTAGTCTTTCCAGTTTCTTCTTGGTCTTTTGTTGCCAACATTATTTTGTTTTCTTCAGCTGGTTGCATTGGAGGTAGTGCCTACTGATGCCCTCTTATCCCGCATTCACGTCCCTAAAACAGATGTTATGTTGGATGCTTGGAGGGTTGTACAGTTCCAACTCAGCCACGATCCATTCCTTATCCTTGAACAAAATTTTGAGGAGATAATCTGGGCTCTTGAGGCTATAGAGAAGGCGGTCTCTATGTTTGAGTTGGCGCTCTTACGAGCTCAAGTCCTGACATGTTATGGCATTATCAGCTAGTGTTGCAAAGAACTCCCCCTCTTGTCAGAGTATTTGAAGAATAATTGGTTAGTGAGGGATGAGTATTTGTTTGCCAAGACCCGGACAATTGCTATTACTGATCAGGTTTAGGAGATTGCCCCTTGCGTGGATCACCTCCAAGCATTACGGGCTAAGGTGGTAGACTTGAGGAACCAGCTCGCAGCAGCTGAAGAAGAGTTAGTGAGAGCTAAAGCTAAAGACGGTCCAGCTAAACTTAAACTAGAGGTCACCACTAAGGTTTTAGATAAGACACGAGCCATTTCGGATGCTAAGCTTCAATCTATGCTTGAGTTTGAGATGGCCCTTACTCGCTATCAAACCCTTTTTGCGGATCTGGACTCGGCTTTGGTGACGTGAGAGACCATGTGCAATCTTTGTAAATAGTGTATCTGTGTATATACACACACATTTTTTTCATTATTTATTTATTTTTTGTAACACAATTCAAACATAATAATAAAGAACAAATGATTTTTCTCATTATGCGACTTTTGTATGCCCAGAGGCCATTTTAGGCCTCGGGTTCTTTATCACTTTCTTATTATAACGATGACCAATATTTCTTCAAATACTTCCCATTTATGGCCTGTCTGTATGGAATCCTGTTGACGCTAGTTAACATGTATGTGTTCCCTTTAAGTACTTCGTCTATCTTGAACGGTCCTTCCCAATTAGGCAAAAACTTACCAAGTGTCTAGTCTTTAGAACTAGGTGGTAACACAAGTTTCCACTCGATCTCGCCCACCTGAAAGTGTTTCCTTCTTATCCACTTATTATATATTCTTGAAACTTTCTTCTTCTAAGCGATCATATGATCGAGTGCTTGTAAGCAAATTTCGTCTAACTGAATTAACTCACTCATCATGGCTTCGTTGTAGTCATCAGATGGTTTTTCTAGACTACTCGCAACATGTAGGGAAGAGACTGCTATTTCTATACGCAAAATGACCTCATACCCATATGTTAACACATACGGGCTCATGCCTGTAGCTTCTCTCTTAGATGTCCAGTATGCCCATAGTGTTTCGGGCAATCGTACGTGCCATTCTCGAGGATTCTCTTCAATTGTCTTTTTTAGAATTTTGAGGATGATCTTGTTGGAAGCTTCGGCCTGTCCATTTACCTGAGGATAATATGACGAAGATGCCAATAACTTAATCCCACTTTCCTCGATAAAGGCCTTGAATTCACTTCTAGTGAATATTGTCCCCTAGTCAGTTGTAATCGTTTGAGCAATCCTAAATTGAAACATGATTTTTTTATGTATGAAATTAATAATGTCACCCTATTCTACTTTCTTCATAGGGACGGCCTCGACCCACTTAGTGAAATAATCTGTGGCTACTAAGTTGAATAAGTGGCCCTTGGCTGAGGCTTGATAAATTTTTCCTATTACATCCATAGCCTATCCTCAAAGAGGCCATAGTTTGATGATTGATACATGTCTGATGCTGGTATTTATTGCGTTGGCCCGTGAGTCTAACATTTCTTGCACCTCCTAGTGTATTAAATGCAGTCTCTTGTCATCGATGGCCAATAGTATCCATGCCTATATACTAACCATTGCATCTTTGGCCTCGACTGATGAGCCCCACAAACTCCCTCATGTACCTATCTTAAAACCTTCATATAATCAGTGAAGGCCAAACACCTAAGTAATAACCCATCGTGGCCCTTTTTGTATAACTCATCTTCAATTAAAATGAAGTGTTGAGTGTGTATCCTTGTTCTGTAAGGGTATCATTGATTGGGATCTTGTAGATAACTTTTAAAATCATCTCACCAATCCCTGGCTAACCCTTGCGAGACGACACTACATCGTACTATCAAACGACGCTAAGTGATCGAGGGATATTCTTTCCATTCCACCACAATTACCTTTCTAGTGAGTTTGGGTGATAGCCTTAGCCTTGATGCTATTTGAGCTAGTTCATTAGCTTCTCAGTTTTGAGCTCAAGGAACATAAGCCAACATTACCGTTTCGAACTCTTCTAGAATCTGGGAAGCCCTAGCATAATACATTACTAGAATCGGGCTCGTACACTTGTTCTCGCTAGTTAATTGTTTGATGACTAAGTAAGAATCCCCTTCCATGACCACATCATGGGCTTTCATTTCTAAAAGAATCTTAAGCCTTGTGAGCAGTACTTCATATTCTGCCTGGTTGTTAGTACACTCAAAATTTAATTAAAGAGATAGTATTGTTTATCCCTGCAGGAGAGGTTATCACTATACTAGCCCCAGATGCCTGTTCAGTACTAGATCCGTCGAACTTAATCACCTAAGGTCCTAGATCTATTAAGAACACAAGTAGTTCCTGCTCATCTTTAAGGAGCTCGGTTGAGGGATGATTAGCTAGGAAGTCTGCTAACACTTAGCCCTTTACTGATTTTTGAGACAAAAATATTAAAAAAAAATTTCCAAGACCAAGCTCCATTTCCCTATACAGCCCATCATGATTGGCCAATTAAGCATGTATTTAATTAAATCAGCTTGGGAAACCACATACACAATTGTGTTTATTATATAGCGCCAAACATGCTATTTCTATAGCTAAGTATCTGGCCTCTGTTGGAGT